AACTAATAAAATGTTCGAATAATCGGTTTTCTTTCAGTAAATCCGTTGTTTTATTGTTGGGAAGAACAATGTTTGCAACCTGCAAATGAAAACACTCAAGAAGGCAAAAAAGCAACAACCACTCGTTCTTGCTGTTCAGCTAAAGTATGTTGTTAGTATAAATTTTTCTGTTTTGTGAATTTCACTGGAAGGAAGCAAGAGCAACCTGTTTAGTTTTATTGTGTTACAGAGTGGCGATGTCTTAACACGGTGCTCTGGAGAAACGTCTTCGGTGAAATATTCTAATAATATGAGATGGTTAGACTCAGAGGCTGAATAACTATTTCTTAAATTTAAATATTTATTTTTAACATAACAAAATTTATGTAGACTAACATTTCTTTGATTTTTTCCGTTGTTATCATTTCAGTACTTTTACCGACTCACATGTAATATATAAAACTCTTCAAAATACGCCATGCATTAAGTACGATGATATTGTGAGAATTACTAACGATTTTTCGCCAAAAAACATTCTTGGAAGTGGAGGTTACGGGACAGTTTATCGAGGAACATGGGAGCAAACAGAGGTTGAAAATATATTTCTTAATCAGATTTGTAGTCCGCGCTAATGTTATTCGACTATTTGAAAGACTTATGCAGTATATTTCAGGTTGCAGTGAAGCGTATACAGGCTACGAAGGAGTATGGAGCTAAGGTTTCTCCTAGTTATATGGGAAATATTATTTGCACAATATCCATTAAGAAATCTAACTTTGTTAAAATTGTAGAGATCCAGAATTAAATTCTTTAGAAAGAACACATGCGTCAAAGTTTGCAAGAATTAAGAATGTTGTCGAAATATCGGCATGACAACATTCTGCCACTTTATGCATATTCACTTGATGGTCCTCAACCCTGTCTACTTTACCAGTACATGAGCAATGGTTCATTGTTTGATTGTCTCTTCAGAAAAGTAAGATCTTATGGTTTTGTAATTTTTATGCGTTATGGTTTATACATTCACTAATAAATGCTGTCAATTTCCCTCATTTATCATTGTTTCGTTTGATTAAAACCATCTTATAATTTCTGAAAGAGCCAACATGAGATAATTCTAATTGCTGAAAATGTATGCCAATTTTTTTCCTAATTTGTTAGTAAGTTTCAAATATTTCATAATTATTTGCGTTTGAGGATCGCTTAAACCACAGTTTACTATAGTACAATTTTGCAGAAATCTATGGTTCTTACGTGGTTGCAACGAATATCAATAATGGTAGGTTGTGCTCGTGCTCTACATTATCTGCATTCTGTTGCAAAGAATCCAATAATTCACGGAGATGTAAAATCAGCAAACATCTTGCTTGACAAACATTTGGAACCAAAATTAGGTGATTTTGGTTTATGCCGAGATAGCTTTTCAAAAGTTAGTCTATCTTGATTTTTTTTTTGTTGAGATATAATCATTTTGAAGCCGTTTTGATAATTAGATAAAAATTCTGTTTAAATTGCGAAAAGTCATTTATTGTGATTTATGATGGTAAAGATTATCATTCATCAGTGAACACAAATAATGTATAAAGCAGGATGACTGGAAAGACGATGGTTTCGTTATCGCTTCTCACGTTAAGGGGACATTGGCTTATCTGCCGCAAGAGTTCTTGGCAGAGTTAGTTATTTGTAATTGTTATTTGTGAAAGTTTTAATATATTGTTTTTTTCAGAGCGAATAGATTTGCATATTTATTAATGCTTTGTGACATGCACGTAAATCTTAGATGAATGATAACAAAAGCAATATCAAATCCATCAAAAATTCATGAATTGGCTTTGTCTAATCTTTGTTTTTCTTATTTTAGGAGAATAATTAGTACAAAACTCGATGTATATGGTTATGGCATAGTTTTGTTAGAAGTTGCAACGGGATTAAAGCCTCATGTTGTCAAACGGGATCCACAAAATATCGTAGAATATGTTACGGATCATCAAAGGTCTGGAAAACACGAAAGTATTTTAGCTGATCACCAGTGCGAATTTATCAGTGGTTAATTTTTTACAAAATAAATTTATTTTAGTGATCGAATTTGTCATTTTTGCGGTGTCGAATATTTCGTAAATATTTGTCTATAGATAGAAAATGTTTGGAACTTATTTTGAAATTGTGTCATTCGTAAAAACATTTCAGATTTAGACATCAGTTACTTCAGTCTTATTCTGCAAACTGGATTAAAATGCGTAGTGCGAGATTACCAAAGAAGGCCAACATTTCGCGAAATCACCAATGCATTCTTATGCATATGTAACAGTATTTAGTAAGAATTTGGAGGGAATGACAACGCAGACTGATAATCGGATTTTCAAAAGTTGTTTATATGCCATAACTTGAAAATGTGAACATTGTACCGTAATTACTCATCTCGGTCTTTTATTAAACTCACTTTTTTATTTTCTTTGCAATCTGTGACAAGCATGCTTATTGTACTACACTGTTAGTTTTATTACCAATGAATGTTGGGTTGAAATAAAAATGGTGACAAAGACCTTGCTAATAATTTTAATTATATTTTCACCCTTCATTTGGTCTGGCTTTAACCAGAATTTCTCAATGCGGAAGGATAAAGAAGAAGTTTGTACACAAATGCACGTTGGTAACTAAATCTGTTCCAGTGATGAACAATGGTGCTTTTGAGCAGAATGCATCAGATTGCATAGAAATTCGTATGACAGAAGACGAGTTAAGAGGGCGATCCTCCATAGCATTCTGCGAAATTTGTTCACGGACATTTGCAAATAAGAATGCGTTCCGCCTACACCAAGTGAAGACTCACAACCGTATACGTGGGAAGGCTGATTTGGCATTATTTCATCGGAAACGAATTAATTCAAGTTTGTGAAATTCTATGATTTGCTGACTTTTTCGTCGTGATTATCTTTAGGATAGATAAAAGCTTTTAAAAATAAATCAGTAATGAAATGAATCTAAACTAAGTTTACAATTTTCAGAAACTGAAAAACATTATTTCTGTCCCGTCATTGATTGTCGGTTTAACAGTGGTCGCTTTTTCAATGCTTATAAACTTCTTCATCAACATTTTTTTAGAGTCCACGGTGAAAAGCGCTTTAGGTGATGTCTTATTTTTTTAGTTTTGCATAACTTATCACTTTCCACTGCTTTTTGCTGGTAGTTGTTTATGTTTTTAAGTAATTTATGCACTTATAGATGCGATAAATGCAAAACGGCGAGATTCAGTTTGCAACGTGATTTACTGTATCATCAGAGAAAACGGTGTCCATTAAAAGGAATGTCATCTTAATTTTTCGTTATTTTCTCTTTCAGAATATGCTGTTTTACTAATTGTTTTTCGTTCACTTATTTAGAATGTATACTGATTGATTTTCCATTTATAAAATCTTATAATGTGCATGTTATATTTTTAGACTATAGTGCCCATACGTTAGCATTAATTGGAACGAAATCAGATTGTCCTGAAGTAGAAAAGCGTTCGAAAAGAAACAACAATCAAAATATGGTCTCTACATTGTCGGAGTTAGTTGAGAAATATTTTCGCTGTGTTCCCATGCTTGTATATGGCTCTCAATGCAGTTTTTCAGCAATAAAATCACAAATGTCATCCTTATCAATGTGAATGGTGTTCAGGCCAATCGTGTACCATCTTTCAGAGAAATCCAACCGAAACCAAAGTACGCTATAATTAGTTTTTGTCTATATTTATAAATTAGAGATACTAATTCGTAAATCTCTACGAAGGAAACACTTGATTTATTTATTTTATTTCATTCATTGAAGAAAAGTGTATGCAGTATCTTTTTCTGTTTCCAGAGACGTTAATCAAAATTGTTTATGAGTATGCATCATGGTTTTTTTTTATTCATTTGGTCTGAGCACGCTGAGATATAGATCGTTCAGCTTGTGACTAGCACTGTTTAGTATTGTTTAGGAACTTCATGAGTTCTCATCAGAATCGTTTCTTGCTGGCACGGTTTAGTTCTACAGAATATTTTCGTCTTCATTTCTGTCATTCTTGCTAGTTCCTCACGATATTGGATTGTCCCTTATTTT